ATCACCACATCCCTGGGGCTACACTTTATAGTCATACCCACCTTGCTCACAACCACCATCTGCACCATACCTAAACCCTGGGAATCACTAACATTCTCCATCCCTATATATTTTGCCATTTTGAAACTGTTATATACATAGAAACATACACCATGTGACCTTTTGAGATGGGCTTTTTTTTGTACTCAGCGTAATGCCCTTGTGATCTATCAAGTTTTTGTATCAATAGTCTGTTCCTTTTCACTGTAGAGCACTATTTCATGCTATGGATGTACCACACTTCGAATAAGCATTTGCTTATCATAGAATGTTTAGCTGTTTCCAGTTTTGGTAATTATAAATTAAGCTGCTATGAAAATTGTGTACAAGTTTTATGTGGTCATAAATTTTCATTTTTCTGAGGTAAATGTCCAGGAGTGTGCTTGCTGGATTGTATGGTAAGTATGTTTCCTTTTTTATTTTTAAGAAACTGCCAGATTGTTTTCCAGAGTGGCTGTGGCATTTTTCTATTCCCATCAGCAATCTATAGGACATCAATATTCTACATATCCTTGTGAGAATTGTGTAGTATCCATCTGTAGTATAGCATTTTAAAACTTCAGTTGTTCATTAGATACATAGTGAGATCTCACTGTAATCTTAATTTGCACTCCCCTGATGGTTAGTGATGGTGGACATCTTTTCACATTCTCATTTGTCAGCTACATAGCTTCTTTGATGAAAAGTTTCTTCATGGCTTTTGTCTATTTTATATTGAATTGTTTATTCTTTTTTTTTAAATGTGAAGTTTTGAGATTTCTTCATATCTTCTATTTACAAGTCCATATTCAGACAGTAGTTTGCAAATGTTTTCTCCCAGTCTGTCATTTTTTATTCAATTTATCTATTTGTTTTCCTTTTATGAGTCATGGCTAATGACTCCTTACCAAGTTTTGGGTCTCAAATATTTCTCCTATGTTTTCTTTCAAAAGCTCTGTGGTTTTACATTCAACATTTAAATGTATGATCTTTTGTGGGTTAGTTTTGGCATAAGGAGTGACGTTTAGGTCAATTCATGTTGTGCCTGTGGCGGTCCAGTTACCCCAGCACTTTCTGTTGAGAAGTCTCTCTTCCTCCCTCCATTGAACTGCTTTTGCACTTCTGTCAAAACTCAGTTGGTTCTGCTTGTGTTGGGCTATTTCTGGGATGTCTATTTTGTTCCATTTATCTATGTGCCTATGTCTCTGCCAGTATCGCAGTCTTGATTGAGATTATTTTTAAGATGGAAAAATGACAAACAAGGCTGTGGATATGCCTAACTTACTATCCAGTAAGAAGGAAAGTGATCCAACAGGGTTTGGACACAGTGATAGAAAAAAGTACATTTTCTTCTTCCTAAAATCTCTCCAAGTCCAATTTGCTCAATAGGCAATTATAATTATCAACTTCTTAGAAATTTTCGTGTGTGTGTGTGTGTGTGTGTGTGTGTGTGTGTGTGTGTGTGTAGATGTAATGTATCATACATGAGAAGCATCTAACATTGTACTTGGTAACTTGTAAGCCCTCAGTTTTATTGTTTGTCTTTAATATTTAACATAATCATCATCTTCATCTCCAGTGTTCCTCTCTGATCCCCTTGTAGTGGTTACACAGTGAGGTCAGCATTTCTATTCATCAAACAAATCTCTCACCTAGACTTCCAAGTTAAAAACTGCCTGAAAGAAAATAAAATTTGTTGCTTAGTAATCATTATGCTCACTCTACCACCTAGAAGAAAAGGGAAATTTATCTAAAGACAAGCAATAGACCTCAGGGTAGCAGAGGTGAACAGGCATCCCTTGTGACCTTCACACTGCCCACCTGGCTTCTGTTTTTCAGGTAAGATAATGCAAGAGGAGTGCCCGGACACTGTCCAGGCCTGGTCTCCTGAGAAGGAGTGTGGCATGTCCAGGGAGACCCTTGTCGGTCTGGGCTGGAGAGGAAAGAAGGAGAACAGAAGGGAAGTCACTCATGTCCTTCAAACTCTCCTCAGAACCCTCCAGCCTAGACCTCCGGGATCTAAATCGGGAATGCCTGAAGCTTAGCCAAAACCACAATGGTCTGGCTTAGGTCTTCCAGCTGAGGACAGGCCTGGGAGCCCACACAAATCAATGGGTTAATAAACCTTTCGAGGGCTGGGGTAGTGAGGGTTGCAGCAGCTGGGATGAGGAAAGGCAGAATCATTATTTTTAATTTCAGTAAGTCCATGTATTAATAAAGGGGCTGAATGAAACGTGAGGACGGCGGTGGTTGGGGGTTGCAGAGGGGGTGAGAGAAGAGCCCATCACTTTCTAAATGTTTGCCTGCATGACCTTTGAAATCAGAGTGGAGAATTCTTCAAGTCTGGTAATAGCAAACACTCTTCATCATGCCCTTCAGTGGCTGCTGACTGCAGACAGCTTTTTTTCCCCTTAACAATAGAAGAGATGGAAAAGAAAAGGCAAGCTTTTGGCCTCAGGGTTTTTTTTTTTACCACAGCCCTTTCCGCTCCAACCTACATCTAAGAGGAAGGGAAACTATCTTTTGTTATCACTCAATCTCCCTTAAATTTAAGAACAGCTGGGGATATTTTTCATGATTCATTAAATTCACATCATTCCAAAGAAATCTTCCTGCCGATTTATCTTTGCCTCAGCAGTTGGGGCTCCCAGGAGTGTGCAGTTTCCTGAATGCCGTCAACCTGGGTCCACTGTTTTGGGCTGAGTCTGTGATCTTTCATGCTGGAATATCTTTTTTTGAGGGTGAAAGAGAGCGGGAAAGGAATCAGGGTATTGAAATGAATCTTTCCAGTCAATTTTTCCCTTTCTGGAGATAAAGAGAAAGTCGTATGGCTGTCACAGCTAAAGACTAAACCCCAGTTAATGTCCTCAGCAGGGAAGAATAATTAGTAAATTCTCTAATTAGAGTCCTGTTTACATTTCTCTTTTCTCAGAGGCTAATCCTTGTGTTTAAAGAAGATATTCTGCCTTGATTAAAACCATTGGTTTTAATCGGAGTCATAGTAGAATCCATATGGTAAATGCAAATGTGCTTGAGTTCCATAAGTATCCATTCATACAGTCATTCCTTCATTGAAGACTGACTGTGTACAGAGGACTATACTCAATACTAAATACAAATATGATACAATCTCCACCCCTGTGATCTAAGACAAACATAACAAATAGGCTTCATCCCCCATGCCAACTGTCATCTACTGGAGGAGGTTTCCCAGAGCATTCTGAGGTCATTTCCTGTTCAAGAGAAAGAAGGTTTTCCTGGATTATTGATGCCCATCATGGGGGTAGGAGAGAGGTGCATCCTAAAGAGAGGAAGACCCAGTCTGGGTCATTTGTTGACTAGCCAAGAAGTATGGAGTCCCATGCCAAGGGCTTTCAGATACTTTCACATCGCCTTCACTTGGGCACACAAGGGCAAGGTTGAACGTGATTAGAAAGGTGGTTGGTGAAACTCATATCTTTCTCTAGGAACTTGTGTTTCTGTATGAGAACATCACAGGGCCCCAGGCTTAGTCAACATGTTCCTCTGTGGATACCTATCATTAAAAAGTCTTTATTATGAGTCACTGTGCTACACAGGCAGCAAAACACAATGATTATAAGCTCAGGCTCTGGAGCCAACCCTGTGGGTTACATCCTGGCTCTGCCCAATTGCAGCTGAGTAAAATCAGGCAAATTACTTAGGCTCTCTGTGCTATAGTTTTCTTATGTAAAGTGGAGAGAAGAGTAATGCTTATTGAATTGTCGGGAGGATTAAAAGAATTTCTATGGGTAGAGCATTAAAATAGAGCCTGGATCCTAGTAAATACAATTGTGTATGATTGTTAGTGAAGCGTGGTTGTGGTTGTTATTGCTGTGTACCTTAGCTTGGTCAGACATGTTAGCTGAACAGTTATACACTCTCCTTACCTTTTCCCCTTTTTGGTTTCTTCCCTCCAACAGCATTATGTCCAAGTAGGAAAAGAAAAAAAAAAACAGACAAAATATTTGCATTCTGTATGTTTGGAGTTAATGAGGGCCCTATATCCTGAGAAACTCACTGAGGATTCTTCTATAAAAATTGAGTGTAACCACATCTACCTCTTCTATGATGAAGTACAATAACTTTGTATTTCAACAAGTTTTCTAGGAACTCAATAATGCTGACACATTAATAAATAAGTCATGAGCACATTCACTATCTCTGCAGAAGCATAAAATAAAAAGCTTAAGGAAATCTGGGAAATTATTTCACTAATATTAATTGTGAAATGCCATTCTATTCCCTCCACATGGTGTGTGTGCCCTCTCTACCTGATGGCCAATGAATGCTACATTTGTGACTTTCCTTCCCTATAGGGGACACCGTAGGAATGTTTCAAAAAATTATGACTTGGTTTCTGCATCCCTCCTCCAGAGCCTGACAAAGGCGGCTCCTAAAACACCCATCAGAAGGGGTAAACCACTGGCAAATCAAAGATTACCATAGGATCTATGGTTGCTGAAGACACAGAGCATAAAAGGGGTCTGGGTCAGGGAGGTTCATGGGGACAGATGGTGAGATTTGGGAGAAGTGTTAGATGGACAAGTCACTTGTACTGAGGTCTCAGGGAGAAAAAGGAAAGGAAATCAGCAGGTAACCTACAAGAGCCCAAGTACTTTCATTTAGTCCCCAAGAAACCTTCTGAGTTAATATTAACTTGCCATTTGTATAGATGAAGAAATAGTTACCGAGAGATTTGGGGTCAAAGATTCTGAGACTTAAACTCAGTTGTTGCAGACTCCAAAGCACTTTTCACTCAATCATGCTATTTCCTGGGAAGCGTGAAACATAAGAACATCTGATATGTACAATCTCAGAGCAGAAAAGATGATGACCTCTGGGAAAAAGCTCTAGGGGAGGAGGTTGGGCAGGTAGATGGAGAATCCCTCAAGGCGGTTTGGAAAAGAAGGGCCAGGTAGAAAACACCCTGTGTAGGAAGCAAAAGGCAAAGAAGGGTGAAATTATACACAGATGTTTATTTTATTTGTATTTTCTTTATTTATTTTATGTATTTGTATTTACTATGTATTTTTATTGAATCGTGTGAGGTGCTGTAAAGACTTAATTTCACAATGAAAATTCCCATTTGGAATCATTTTCTTTCTTGTCTTATGTATACCGACCCACAATACATGGATAATTCTCCGAGACAGGTCAAACTACCACAAACAATTGGGGAAATTCACTCTACCCTTGAGTTTCCACGGCCTGCCCCACCTCACTTTATCCAAAGTTTCCCATTAGAAATCCAGTGGTCAGTTTGGGCTTCTTTGTGTCTTTCAGACTCCTAAAGATAGACCAGAGGAGGATAGACAAAGCAACAGTTCATTCAGTGATGAAATAAGCCCCAGAGTCACTGAACACAACTGAGCTGTAGCCAAAACTATCTAAAATGCGTAGTTGTTTATGTCACGTGCCTGCTTAAAATCTTATAATCATTTTCCATTTCTCAAAGCTAAAGTTCAAATCTCTTAAAGTTCTAATACAGTGATTTAGGTCTGAGACCTGAAGAGACACATCTGTACTTGAATCTTAAATCTGTAGTTTAATAGCTGTGTGACCTTGGACAAGTTAATCAATCTAAGACTCAGTTTCCTCTTTTGCAAAATGGGGCTAACAACTGGACATACCCATGAGGTTGTTGTGAGGATGAAATGACTCAACACATGCAAAGCTCTTAGTTCTATGGTCTAGCAGTCTATTGAAATGATAAGCATGGCTATGGCTTTTTTTTTTTTAAAGACAGGGTTTCACTCTGCCACCCAGTCTGGAACGTAGTGTCATGATCACAGCTCACTGATCACAGCTCACCATAGGCTCCAGTCTCCCAAGTAGCTGGGACTACAGGCACACACCACCATGCCTGGCTAATTTTTTTACTTTTTGTAGGGACGAAATCCTGCTATGTTGCCCAGGCTGGTCTTGAACTCCTACTCGCAAGCTACCCTCCCACCTCAGCCTCTCAAAATGCCGAGATTACAGGCATGAGCCACTGTGCCTGGTGATAACTATGTTATTTATTGACTTAGGAACCTCCTTGGTAGTCTTAACTCCATTACCTCTCCAAAGTGGTTTCTTTCTTTTTTTTTTGAGTTGGAGTCTCACTCTGTCGCCCTGACTGAAGTGCAGTAGCTGCTCCCGGCCACTGCAGCCTCGACCTGCTGGGCTCCGGCGATCCTTCTGCCTCAGCCTTCCAAGTAGCTAGAACTACAGGCGCGCGCTACCACGCCCGGCTAATTTCTTGATTTATTGTAGAGATGAGGTCTCGTCAAGTTGCCCAGGTGGGTCTTGAACCCTCAGGTTCAAGCAATCCACTCACCTCAACCTCCCAAAGTGCGGAATTACAGGCTGAGCCACTGAGCCCGGCTCAAATGGTTTCTTAACATTCCTTTGCCCCTGGCATTTCCAGCCACACTGAATTTCTTATTTCTTCTAAAGCATATAGTTTTCTCTCTCGGCCCCTATGCCTTTGCACATGCTGTTCCCTCTGTCTAGGACATTCTAATTCCTCCTCTTGACACAACTAATTACAAGCTATCCTTCAACCTAAGATTGAACATCCTGCCTTCCTGGACCCCATCTAGCTGACCTTTGTAAGTGTTACAAAGTAACCTTTGTTAAGTGTTCCCATGGCACCTAGTGTAGTCCAGGCCATAGCACTTTATAGTTGACTGCTCAAGTGTATACTCCACAGAAGCTTGCTGTAATATCCCCAGTGGTTAGTTCAGTGCCTAATGTAAAGTTTGCACTTAAATATGCTTCAATATTTATAAATGAGTGATATTCCAAAAAGACATTGTGGAATGCTATCTTTCTAAAATGCTTCGTTGCTTCTGTCACCAGCTTGCTTGGAGGACACCAAATCACCCTCCTAATAGCCCAAAGAAATAGTGGTGTTTGCCCAAGCCTCTGATTACTTATAGCCACAGGGACATCAGCCCTTCCATGGGTCTCATGGCTCTTGAACACTCTTCCTGAGTTCACTCAGTCCTTGGCAGAGACTACACTGGAGAGCACTGAACAATTTATCTTTGGAGGCCACCTCCAGGACCAGCAGGGTCCTTGTTAAAAAATTATTATAAAGAATTTCAAGATCGTGACAGCAGAGCATTAAACAAAGCACATGGCACAGGTCACACGCCTGTGAGACTGGCCTTGATGGTAGCTTTCTCCACAACCCTTTGCCCAGAAGAATCTGTCATGCTCCTTCCCATCCTATACATTTAATGTGTCTCTTTAGAAATCAGATGATTTTTAAAGGTAACTAACTGTGATGATAAGCTTAAAACTAAGAAATCAATCACTAATGAAGGAATTTCTGGCCTCTGCAGCAGAACTGACTTTGAATGGAGCTTACAGGGCTGGCAAGAACCTTAAATTCCACTATTTTGCTAATACCTCATCACATATTAACATTTTCTTTTCATGTACATGCATGTATATATAGTATACACACACAAAAACATACATATTTTCTGAATTGAGAAGCTTTTTCTAGCCTCATTCTATCCATCAGTAAGATAGACACTATAATGTTAATTTGGACAATTCAAATATATGCTCTGAGGTTTTATATTAGTAAAGAGATTAGAAATCTTTTATCAAAAACACCTTTATGATAAAATCAGGGTAAATGTCATATAATTACCTTAAACATTTATCATTTCATTCAAAATGTTTTCCTCTATCTTGAAATATACACTACATTGTTACTTGCTATAATCACCCTACTGTTTAAAAGAACACCAAAACTTATTCTTCCTGTCTAACTATAACTTTTGTACCTATCAATTATAAATTTTAAAAATAACTTTATGTAAGCAAGTTTTAAAAAGTAATGCAAATGCTAGCTCTCTGTAACAGATACTTCATAATAACAGAATGTCATGTAGTTCAAAATTTACCATCAGTCAGTGGTTGTCAATCGTATCTGCTTTGGGAAGCTTCTAAACACTCTGAGGCCTGCGTCCCAGATAGCCAGGACCAAGATTTCCAGAAGTGTGGCTAGGGCATCAAAGGTTCCTAAAGCTCTTCTGGTGGTTCAAACGTGCAGCAGGATTGAGAACCGCTGCTCTAGTTGGAGAGGTAATTCAGTCGCAGGTACAAGCATTTCTGAAATGCAAAGAAAAGTGTGAGTTGAACTTCCATCAGACGGTGATGAAAATCACGTGCTGTTTAATAGCCTATTAATTTAAATCCACACACAAGGAGAATAGCCTGCTCTCATAAACTGTCGTTATTGTATATTTGAAAGCAGTGAAATCCCTTCACAAAAGAGAAAGAGAGAGAGAGAGAGAGACTCTAGCTTAAGCCTTAAAATCATCAATAAAATATCAGTTTCATCCCATGGTACAAAATTCCAATCTCCATCTAAAACTGCCTGACCCTAAAACATATCAGAAGCTTGTTCTAATCACAGGAGATGTGTTCTGAATAGGACCGCTCTTCTCGCAATAGCTAAGTCTACAAGTCACTGTTTTTACTGTAGCTGAAAAATTAATTCCTTTTCAGAAATATTCTCATCTTCTCCTAAAAGAAAAAAAAAGGCTTTTTTTGATGTCGAGTGACAGGATTATAAAGTGACCCTCTGGGTCAGAAGGAGACTTTTCTTTTTCTCATCAAGGAAATCAATTTCTAAGTCCAAGTCTCTTAAAATAATATATTCTTGTGGCACGCATGCAGCTTTTTTGATCTGCTATGAAAAGAATAAGAGGTAAAGAGGATCAGGGGTGGCGATGGAATATTATAATCTGCCACACTCACACATCAGCCTTTCACTAAGTAATTCCAGATAAATTGAGGATTTACATATTTAAGATTAAATGGGAGAAAGAGTAGCTGATGCATAAATATAGGAATACAAAGATATGACTGAAGCAAGTTAACTCTTAAAACTTGAAGTTACTTGCTGCTTGTTTTATCGCTCCACTTCGAAGTTTAACGTTTATTAGTGACTAACCAAGATAATCTCTTTCAGATCAATTGAACTCACAACCTACCCTTAGGGAATTTTTTCCCCCTGTCCTCAAAAAATCCCAATTACACCGACAAGCAACAGTTAAATGCATACAAAGACGCATAAATGCAGCAGATGGAAAACAGGAGGAAGCAGCTGGAAGCGTGTTTCCCTCAGAACTGTTTTTAACAGCCTGTGCACAAATAATGCCTCTCTAATACAGAGATAAAAATAAAACATAAATATTGAGAAGGTGACTGGTCACAGACGATGGCATGAGATGCTGTTATCTTCCCAGGTTCTATTACCCTTGGATCCTTCCAGATACTCTCTCATTTTGGGACTTCTAAGAAATCCTGAAAATCAGATTCAACCTCAGGATCCTGACTTTGCTAAGAACTCAGTTACAACCTGAACTCTTCCCTGACACTATTCCCAAGGATTGGGTGCCTGTGTGGCTTTTGTTAGGCCCCTGTAAGAAAGGGAGCCACTATTTCTCTAACTTCTAGACAGCTCAAAATATCACTTAGCAGTGGTTTCTTTCACCCATGCCAACTCTGGCATCTCTCCGTTTCTTTTCTCCCTTCTTTCTCTAATACACTTTGTTTAGGGGGAAAAAAATACCGCTTAGCAAAGCTGTGCCTTTCCTTGCTTTGCTAAGGACTTTGATTTCGTGGTGCTGAGTGCTCTTCACCCTGGAGGTTCTCTTTAAATAACAAATGAAGAATATGGCAACTTGCATAGATGAAGAGACTTCTGACCCACCATTAGGTAGGGAAATGAATTTAAGCACTTTTTCCAGTGATGATAATGAATCCAGTTTACGTTCCCTTAGGCTGTACATCTGTGGCAGGTGCTAAGGCAAGCAAAGATGGTAGAAGGAAGTGGAAAGGAGTAGATGGGAGCAAGTGATGGGGACTTCTAAGATAGGATCAATGTTTTATTTCTTGATCTGGGTCCTGGTTACTTGCTGTTCTTTTTGGAATCACTTATTAAGCAGTATCTTTGGGTTGTGTGTACTTTACAATCATGTGCTGCTTTTCACAATTTAAAAAATGCGAAAGAAAGAAAAAAGCTAAGACAGAGAAATATAAAAAGCCAAATTTAGTAGAGAAGATAACATATAAAGTCACCTCACATGGAATGCAAGGGGATGTGTGCTCAGTGTCATAAGATTATGGGGATTAAAAGAACTATTGGGACAGATTGAGGCTATCAGATAAGGTTTCATGGAGAAGGTAGTAGTTGAAATTGGCCTTAAAAGATGGGCAAGAGCCAGGCTCGGTGGCTCAGCCTGTAATCCCGCGCCTTTGGGAGGCTGAGGTGAGTGGATTGCCTGAGCCCGCGGGTTCGAGACCCGCCTGGGCAGCGAGACCTCATCTCTACAATAAATCAAAATATCAGCCGGGTGTGGTAGTGCAAGCCTGTAATTCCGGCTACTTGGAAGGCTGAGGCGGAAGGATCGCTGGAGCCCAGCAGGTCGAGGCTGCGGTGGCCGGAAGCGGTCACTGCACTCCAGTCTAGGCAACAGAGTGAGACTCCAACTCAAAAAAAAAAAAAAGATGGGCAAGAATTCAACAACAGAGCTGGAACTCGGGGGAGGTGGGCATTGACCAGGATGGAAGAACAGGAGCAAAGAGATTACAGGGAGAAACTTCAGAAGCCATTGGGCAATGGTGAGCAGGTAGCTTAACTAAAGCATAGGGATATATAGAGCAGGAAAAAATAATGGGAATCAAAATTGTGAAGCAAAGAGAGTTTTGAAATAACTAATGAGTCAACTAGCAAGTTTATTTATGGACAAAGGAGAACCATAGAAGAAGTGTGAGCATTACAGATTAGATTTGTATTTAGGAGAAATAGGCGGTGATCTACTGGGTGAATTGAAGGGAAGGGAGCATGGAAACAAGAAGGTCATTAGGTTATAGTAGATTATCCTTGGTTTTCAAAACACAAGTTGGGGAAAGGAGAGGTGCCTCTCTGAAGGTTTAGGCATTCAGGACTCGAAGTTCATGTTACTTTGTATGCCTTCCTTCGCTACAGCACCCCCTCTGCCTTTCTAGAAATAAATTCCTTATTAAGGATGCTGTTTACCTCCACTAGTGTATAGTTCCTATATTCATTATTTGAGTCCTAGAAAAGCTTCTAATATGGGAAATATATATCTTCCCTTTTTAAAAATCAATGTATACAGCAGGAATTTACAAATATAATTGGCTAATCTGAATAGTGCAATAGTGCAATCTTTCTGCTTCTGAGTTTAACTTTTTCCTTCACTTTGCCCCTACCCATGAGGTTTCTGAGGGTGAAAGGCTGCCCATGAGCACAGGTAGGTGTGTGCATGTACCTGCCCATGTCTCCTTTTGCGTTCTTTGTGCTTCCTTACAAAAGTTTCATTCTGTCCTTCTAGAGCTTCCGTTAACCCAGAGCTGCTGGTTGCCTCACTTTTCACACTGTGACCAGGGTAGCTGTTAGCATGATAAGTAGCAGCCACAGGGTCACCAACTTTGCTGCCGTGGTCATCAGGATATGTCAGAAGCATGAACGATATCTAAAAGTCTATTTGGTGCATTTGCTCTTTTTAATTGTGAACGAATTGGGACATTTCAAAGTGAATCAAAGGAGATGAAGGAATGAGCTCCACTAATTGTTTACCTGCACATATTTCTTTGCTGCTTTTCTTGCACAGAATTCTCGTTCCCTGTCTCATTCTGAGGTCTGCTGTTTTCGACGGCTGATGCACGGCACGTTGTTACTTAGCTTCTGGCACCTTGCATTTATCAAATAAGGACAGTTTGAGGAAGGCCAACGTTCAAATAAGGACAGCTTCAGGAAGGTCAATGTTCAGATGGACTCAACACCAATAGGAAATAAACTTTCTCCCTCCTTCTACACAGGTTTGCTCACACCCCACAGCTGGGCCAGGTTTATAGCCGAAGGGAAGCTTATCATTGTTGGCTGGCTGGGAAACCAGTCGCCTGATTTGCACATATGCCTGTCCCCATTCCCCATCGTGTTTCCTCTGTGACTCATTTATTTCAGGTGCTATAGCAACAGGTTTGGGATACAGATATGATAAACTCAAGTTCCTCTCCAGCCGGAGTTCAAAGCACCTCTTGCCCTTCAATGAATCAGAAGAAATTTTCTCTTTAAGTATCTGCCAGCTGACCCAGAGCTGGCCAAAACAAGAGGGAATTTCCACCAGGACTTAGCAGGATCTTGGGAGCTTCTTTCAGAAGAACGTAATGTGTTGGGTTAGAGAAAACTTCCTTTGAGTCAGAAGCTTGGCTCAGAGCTCTAGATCTACCGGAACGAGCTAAGACACTAACTCTCCGAAGTTGGACCGGTTCATTGGCTCACGGTCATGGGCCAGGTTGCAATGAGGTTTCCATGGAGAAGAGAGAAAAACAGAAAGAATGTAGTGAATTTTTCATTCAGCTAAATTATTTCATCAAATGTGCAATCCTTTAAAATTTCTATTTCTCTAATGTTAAAAAAAAAACCATTCAAGGTCTTGTTCAACTATTAGTTTCTCTCAGAAGCCTGTTTTGATATCCTCAGTCTATCCCAATGATTCTTTTAATGCCCACAGTACCTGATATTTATATCACCCAGTGATGTTAAAAGCTCTTTCTTTTGTGAAATGATAATAATGGGTTTTTGAGCCCATACATGAATTTAGAAAAGGGTGGGTAAGTTATCTGATCCAAAGTATGCAACTTTTAATTTTTTCAGTCTTCTCATCCATGAAATCTAGAGGTCTAGTAACCATTGGGTCAGATAAATTCCAGGAGAACAGTTTTTAAATTTTCAGGGAGTACTGTGATCTCATGTTTTCCCACAAATATCCCAGTGATGCCTACTGCAGAGAAAGTCCATGTATATTAGTTTATTCATCCCATCAATATAAATACCTACCATGTGCTGAGTGCTAATTCCTGCCTTCAGGAGCTCACAGTCTAGGGAAGGTGACATTTATGTAAAAAAATATGTGCATTCAAATACGTGTATGTATGCATATACATAAACATACACATATATAACTCACATAAACATCAGACAACCCTTCTCTGGTTGTATTTGTTTATTTGGGTATACATTCCTTTCTTTCCCTTCCATTCCCCCTCCATAGACCTCTTAAAGGCTATCCTTTTATTTGAATGTGTTCTTGTAAAATATATATTGCTGGTTCATGTTAATGTCTTTCATTTTGTAAGGGTATTTGCTATATATCATATCCTGTTTTCTACTTTTTTCCCACTTCAGATCCATCCATATGACTGGTATATATCTAATTTTTATGAAATTGAGTTTATCTTTTTTTTCTGGCCTTAAGGTTTGTGTTTTTGGTTTTTTTGTTTTTTGTTGTTTGTTGTTTTTTTTTTTTGAGTTGGAGTCTCACTCTGTCGCCCAGACTGGAGTGCAGTAGCCG